CGGGGTACTGCATATACATCTGCAAAAAACATTCCACACCCAGCCAGGTGTGTAGGAGTGTGATGCTGTTTACAATGTTTTGGGTACAGGAACAGGAGACCCAATACATCCAGCGGCTCCTTTAGGGGTAAGTGCTACACTTGTAAACTATGATTAGAATATTTTTTGGATTGATTGTATACAATCTTCAAACAAAAATAATAATAAAGGGTAAATCATATCACTGATTTTATAGAGCATTCTTTCCTTTTTCGCTTCATGAAATTTTACTAGGATTTTTAATAACCAAAAACAGAGTGAAAAGTAAAAAAAGAAGAAAGAAAAAGAAGAAAAAAATAACTACAAATTTGGTAAATATACTGTATATCACCACGTAAAATGGTTCAATGCTGCAATTGTTCTCTTATGCCTAATCCTAACCCCAACACTGCCTGGAGTTTGCATGTTCTCCCTGTGACTGCGTGGGTTTCCTCTGGGTACTCCGGTTCCTCCCACTCTCCAAAGACATGCTGGTAGGTTAATTGGCTCCTGTCTAAATTGTTCCTAGTATGTGTATGTATGAATATGAGTAGATTGTACGCCCCTTGAGGGTTAGGGACTGATGTGAATGTACAATATATATATGTAAAGTGCTGCGTAAATTGATGGCGCTATACAAGTACCTGAAATAAATAAATAAAATAATATGATACTAATTTCAACTTGCCAAAATATGCCTTTTGCTATATAAATAAATACTTTGACATGGTTACCAAAATAGATATTCCCACATGTATCATGTATCATGATTTTTTTTATAGTCTCTTTCCTGCCTCTTATCTAGATCTTGATTTCTGAAAAAGGCAACAAGGCCACTATTCACCATTAAATTATATTTCAGACACTTAAACAGAATCTGTCACTTTGCCCATATCATTTTGTAAATACCCCTCTACTGCTTTACTCCTTGCTCACCTTTCCCCCCTAAGCTTAGTGCAAAACATTTAAACATCTCCTGAACTATCCTGGTATATAGGTTGTATTCCCTTCTGTTGATGCTGCTTGGATACCATGTATTTATCTTTGTTCATTTAGCACTGCTATTCATATATTTTATGTGTTTAGATCTCCTCTCCAAGTTTTTTTCCTACTCTTTATTCATTCTCCACTGGTTCCTGCCTATCTTGTACAAAATATAATTTTTTTTTAATCTCTAATGTCTCTCTAGTTTAGCTTCCAGTTTTATAAACCAATCTAATCTAACTATTGACTAAATTCAAAGTCTAAAGGTTACCATTCCATACCAAACCTTCTAGATTTGGCTGCTGACTTAGATACCAATGATCCCATTCTATTACCCCAAACAATTTTTGGAACCTAACATTTGCATTGCCCTCAATTGCTTCATTTTTCTTTAACTGAACACTATTCTTATGCCTCCTCATCATGTCACTGTCTGTTGGTATATCACATGGCCCAGTCCTGGGTTCCCATAATTTGAAGTAAACAAAAATATCAAGCAGAACAAACGTATGGTAAATCTTTCAGGGGTCCCTGTGCACTAAGGAATTGCCCCCCCAACCTTGAGGTCTACAGTTATGGCCGTTCTTGGTGGGGGGAATGTTACAGCCAGCACTGAGCTCTGCCTCTTCTCCATTCTGCAACTCATCTTTCCTGCTTAGTTTACACAGAATTTGGACCTGCAGCCTGCTATTCAGGGGAATAGAGAGAGTGAAAACTGTCATCTTGTGTTTTTGTGAATGAAACCCCTTTTCTCCAGTTGCAGTCCTTCTGACAGTCACCCAACTGACACCATCACACTGCTTAAGAACGTGTTCTCTTTCAAGCTTGTAGGCAGGTGTGGTTTACCTTCCCTTTTGTAGGTGGTGCTGTATTGCTGACCACTGTACAGAGAGAATGGAGGATGAGAAGAACTTTGTTCCTCTGCAGCCTCTGTAGGTGTCACCAGTGGTCAGATTAGAAGCTGCAGCACTGGGTGACCTCAGCAGCCATCTCTGGTGAGGGCAATGCTAATAAATAGCACTGCCCCACTGTTGTTGGCACGTGCCAATGAAGTGAATAGAGTAGGGACAGGATCCACTCTGTTTAGGGACAATGCATCTAGCTCTAGGGAAAGGTTCCTGACATGGAAGGACAGAGCAAAGATACCTCTGCTAGCTCTGCCATCTTTGGACTTTAGATCCGTGAAAAGGATCTTGCCAAGAGTCTACCAAGTACCACTTACACCACTTCTCCATCTAACAGCCACCCTTCTCCAACCAGATGCTGCTCCAGTAATGTAAGCTTTATTAAGGTGACACTTTGAGTGCTGGGACTATTCTGCTGTGCCAGTTGCTGAGAGTTTCTGCAGCTGTGATGCCTGTGCCAATGAGATGCTGACACCAAATTACTTTGAGCCTCTTAAGCAAATAATTTACAGCTGTTCTCTACATGTTTTTTGTTACTTTCACCTCCCCAAATAATAACGGTAACACTCCTCTTGGTCTCGGTGTGTCTTCCCTCCATCTTGTGTACCAACCAATTGGCCCTGCCCACAAGCTGGTCCCTTTTCTCTGGAGCTCACTTCCATGTATTTTCAGACAATCGCATACCACCCTTTAACTATTCTTGCACAGCCTATAGCACAAATGACGGCCAGGCGGGACATTCACCTTTCCAGGTGGACGCCATATGATGTCCTCCCTTGCACACCCCCCAGAGGAGATCTGTCACCCACTGTGTCCACCTGCCAGTATCATGTGATAGCTGTGACCAATCACAGCAGATCCCATAACAGTTGCACACATTCCTGTCATCCATTGTGTACTATTGTGTTGATATCTGTGATTGGTCACAGTGATCACATGGTACAGAAAGGGCCAATCACAGCCCATCTGTACAAATTGATTAGCTGTGGCCAATCGCAACTAACCACAATAGTAAACACTGAATTAATCAATTTAGTTCAGTAAAAATGAGTGCTTGTAACAGTGAAATTCACTGGTATAAGGAATTGTAGTATGCCACTTCCCCAGAGTAGTACAATGTTACTATGGTAACACTGTATTGCTTTTTTCACAGTGTGGTTTATTTACTAAAGCTGGAGAGTGCAAAATCAGGCTTTCTTCTGCAAGGAAACCAATCAACTTCCACTTTTTATTGCCAAAGCTTAACTGAACAAGCTGAAGTTAGCAGCTGATTAGTTTCTTTGCAGAAGTGAGCTTGATTTTGCACTCTCCAGCTTTAGTAAATCTCAGTGTGTTTAAAAAAAATCTGTAAATAGAAAAAAAAAGAACAAATTGAAACAAAATTATTATTATTTTTTTACATACTGTTTTTACTTACTATTTTTTTCTTACATACTATTTTTACATATGGTGATCAGTGTCCCTGATCACTGTCATGCCAGTTACATGATGACACGATATAGCACTGGTTACAGTGTGTAAAAAAAATAGAAGCAAAATTATGAAAAACCTGTTTTTTTAAATGTCTTCATTTTCCAAAAAATTATGTCAAAAAACCTAAATACCTTGGACTGTCTGTTTCTAAAAAAAAGGGTCATTTGTACTTTCCTGGCCTTTTTGGACCTCAAGAAATGAGATGAGATGTCAGTACATCATTATTGATCGATTTTCAGATATACTGTATATACAATAGTTTGTGGACTCTATAACTTTCCTATAGACTAAATAATGAACACTGATTTAGGTTATTTTCACCAAAGAAATGTAGCAGAATACAGGTTGGCCTAAATTTATGAAGAATTATTATTTATTAGCAAAATTATTAATATATCCTTCATATCTACCTTTTCTAAGGGGTGTATTGTCCCAATCCACAGCATTTGTATCACAACACATTATTTTACATTTTTATACCGAAGTTTGGTTGACAAATTTCTCTTTTTTGTTGTATCCTTTCTCTTTTTGTACTGCAAGATCATTTACACCCAGAAAACACAAAGGTAGGTTTGTCCTGCACTATTATTAAGCAAGACAGCAAACAAACACAGTTTCATTGTAGGAGGGCTTTGTATAGCCACTTTCTGACAGCCCTAGGGGCGGACTGACCATTTGGAAACTGTGGCACTGCCCGAGGGCCCGGGATCAGTAAGGGGCCCCCCATGAGATGCCCCTGGTACCTTTTTCTTAGGCTTTTTTGAGTTTGGGCAAGGACACAGGGGCCCCATGATCCCCTATTGCCCGGGGGCCCCATGAGTTGTCAGTCCGCCTCTGGACAGCCCACAGCACTTTTACTGTGGATGGGCAGCATGTACAGGCAAAGCGACACACCCGTACATCATTTTGCCTGTACTGACTCTAGTAAGCGTGGCGCAAGTGGATCCCACTAAACAATGGAAACAGGTTGGCTCTGAGGAAGAGGCTGAATCCTTGAAACGCGTTAGCCTGTTGGCAGTCCAGGGTTCCATTTTTGGACTTATATGTAGTGTGGATTGGACACAGCTGTTTAGTGTGATGTGCCAATTGTGAGTACGATGCTTACTTTTTATCCTTTCAATAAATATTTTTTACGATAATGCACTAGGCCGGTACCCTCTGTTTGTTTTTCTTTGCTTTGCATATGCTATCTGTGATTGTTAATAAAACATTTTAAAGAACCCTCTATTTTAATCCATGTTTTATTGCTCTTTAACAGAAATGTAATTTGATAAGCAATATTATTGTATGCTTGTTCAAATGGCATGCTGCTCTGTATGTTGATTTTATGTTGATATGTGTTAGATATGCAGCTTATTTGTATTAGGATGTTATATACTATTTGAACACTAGAGGGCACTAAAGACTAATTTACTTCACTAGCAAAAAGATATGATGTAGAGCTGTAGTTTCCAGCCTTAGACTAACCCATATGGAAGAAAAATATAATTGAAATATATTTTTAAAATATTCTCCCCAAATATAGTGCCATATATTTGAAATACTACAATTTTGGCCATATTTAATATATATATATATATATATATATATATATATATATATATATATATATGTATACAGGGGCGGACTGACCATTTGGAAACTGTGACACTGCCCGAGGGCCCGGGGTCAGTAGAGGGCCCCATGAGATGCCCCTGGTACCTTTTTCATAGCTTTATTGAGTTTGGGCAAGGACACAGGGGCCCCATGATCCCCTATTGCCCGGGGGCCCCATGAGTTGTCAGTCCACCCCTGTATATATGTATATATATATATATATATACTGCATGTTGAAATGCGTTCTTATTACTAAATATATGAAACATATTTTTAAAAATACATTTCAAATATACTGTATGTCTTTAAAAATTCAAATCTATATTTTTGGAATGCATTTATAAATATATGTAAAAATATATGTTAAAATTACTTTTTTATATGTTAAAAAAATCTGAAGAATATATTTTAAAAAATATATATTTAAAAATATTTGTAACAGTAAAGGACCTGCAAAAATCTTTTGCCAAAATTGCTAAAGTCTATATACATGTGTCTACTATTAGAAAGAGTTACATTATAAAGTCAAAAATGAATGACACTTTCTTTTATTAGCATGCACCTTCAGATGTCTGTACATTACCCAGATGTCTACTATAGTGCCAAAGATCCTTAAAAAGTACGGGGGGGCTCTTGTATGCATAAAGTGACCATGATGTGATGTGGGGAGCTCTGATGTGAAGAAAAGTCACTAATGTGATGGGGGGACCTCCGATGTAAAGTGCAGGCTCTGATGTAAAGGGAGGTCTCTGATGTGATGGGGGACCTCTGATGTGAAGAAGGACTTCTGATGTGAAGGAAGAACTCTGATGTGACAGAGGGACCTCTGATTTTAAGGTGGAGGGGGGCTCTGATGTGAAGGAAGGTCACTGATGTGATGGGGGACCTCTGATGTGAAGGGGGTGGGAGCTCTGATGTGAAGGGAGGTGACTGATGTGATCCTAGATTGCAAACTGTTGGCGCTATATAAATCCTGTATAACAATAATAATGATGAAGAGACCCCTGATGGGAAGAGGGGTTTCTGATGTGAAGGGAGGACTCTGATGTGAAGGGGAGCTCTAATGTAAAGGGAGGACTGTGATGCAATTGGAAGACCTCTGTGTAATGAAGGAACCTCTGATGTGAAGGGAGAACTCTGATGAGATGGGGGGACCTCTGATGTGATGAGGGGCTTCTGATGTGAAGGGAGGACTTTGATGTGACGGAGGCACCTTTGGTGGGAAGAGGCTTCTGATGTGTAGAGAGGACTCTGATGTGAAGGGGAGCTCTGATGTGATATGGGACCTCTGGTATGAAGGGGGGGCTCTGATGTGAAGGGAGGTCACTGATGTGATGGGGAACCTCTGATGTTAAGGGAGGACTCTGATGTGATGGGGACCTCTGATGTAAAGAGGGGGCTCTGATGTGACCAGCATTCTGGTCATGGCTGGATCTAGGGGGGTGGTGGGGTGGGCTGGGCTGTGCCCCCTCCCCCCCCCCCCAAGATTTCTGTTGTGCCCCTCCTGGCCGGCTGAGTTTCTTCCCCATTCCCACACTCGGGTGCATAGCCTGGTGCAATGAACTGTGATTAGTAAAGTTCAGGCAGTGGTAGACAGAAAGGAAGCTGTGCTCTGTGTGTGTCCTCCTGTCAGCGGAGTCCTCCTCCACACAGCACATCACACAGGATCACTAGTTTGGGCTGCACACAGCTTAATTACCCGTCCTACCAGTCCTATACACAATTCCTCCTGCGGGACACAAGCAGTCCTTTGAGGAGGCAGAGTACTGGAGGGGGGGGGGGGATATATGCTAGGACTAGGATGGGGGATTGGGGGAGATATCTGTTTGGAGGGGGATTGGGGGGAATATGTTTTAGGAGATGGGATTGGGGGGATATGTGCTAGGTGTAGGGATTTGGGGGGGGGGTACATGCAAGGAAGGAGTTTAGTTGGATATGTGCTAGGAGAGGGGATTGGGGGTGGGGGGATTTGAGCTAAAAGGGAGATATTTCAGGGGGAGGGAGGGGATTATTGTTAGGAGGGGCTGGGGGAATTTGGTTTAAGAGGGGAGGGCTGGGGAGGATTTGTGCTATGAAGGGAATTTAGGGGATTTGGGTGGGGAGAAAGGATTTGTGCTGTGAAGAGTAATTTGGTCTCTGCTGAACACTGTCTTCTGCCCTGATTCGGGTTGACAGCTTTGGTCTCTCCCCTTTCATGATTCACATGTAGCAATCTGCTGCCTTCTACTGTCTGTATTTGTAAATAGTTGTTGCAGTTACTGAAGAGTTATTTTTTTATAGGCCAGTGCCTCCTGTCCCTGTTAGCTGGATCAAAAACCCCAGAAGGAGGAACAGTAGCATATCATCCATGGGTGCAATTGTGCAGTGCACACAGGCCCCGAGGGGGTTGGGGCCTACTGTGCTGCTCTATATACACTATACATTGCATTACATACTACTCATGAAAATGTTCATTTTCTCAACAGTTGCTGGTAGTTGGGCAGTTCCTGACTAATTTAATGAAGTTCTCCTGTAAGGTAGGCTCGAATGAAATGTTAGCTTTCTGGCTATTTTCAGTATACACAAAAAATATATGTAATGGAAAAAATTGTGTGGTTTACACATGTCTGTGAGACTCTTGTATGTGGCACAGCAATCTATGACTATTTTTGGGTACAAGAAGGCTTTTGATTTAGTTAACCACACCCCTTTAAGCCCCTTTAAGCCTCTCCCACTGTTAACAAAATTTGGCCACACTCGCCATTCACCGCATTACTACTTCAGTTAGGGTTTCCTAACACACCTGAGGTCTTTTGCAACCCAACAACACCCCAGCCACAATGAAAACCATGCCCACTCTGACACTGCAATAAGAATGCAGGGTTTTTTTTCGTTTGTTTGGTTTTTTTTATAAAGCAAATGGGCCCAGCTTATTATCTTGAACACGGGCCCATAAAACATGCCTGAGGAGGAAGTGGAGAGAGAGGAACTGAGCCACTTGACCTTACACACTCAAGAGCTGCTGCTAATGTGTTTCACCCAGACCAGAAGCAGAGACTATTAGACAAGTATTCCTATGTTTTAATAGTTTAACTGCAGTTGCCCATAGCTTCCTAAGTGTGCATTTGAATCCTTGTGGCAGACGTATCTCTGTCCTATTGTTATTAACTCACATGTACAGTGCCAGATAGCTAGATCTGTGCTACTGTATGTGTGTAGTGGTCACCTTCCAGTATATTAGTAGGTGAACCTGTTTAATGCAATATAGTTTATGTGCAGCGCCTTTTATTTTAGTTAACCCTGTCCTCTCTGGTTTGGAAGCCTATAACTAGTTCTAATTTAGGGTTCAATAATCAGCATAGGCCAGAGCCAGGTTAGGAATCCGACGGCTACCTGGTAGTTAGAGGTCCAGTTTCATGGCAGATTAGAAGCTACTAAGGACTAAGACACCGAGTAGATAGGCTGATTCTGAGCTCCAGAGCCACCCCATGATTTCTAGTCTTTGACTCCAAGACGTACACAGCATCACAATGCTCCTTAACTGAACTTTGCTGCACCAATCATCTGGGTGTATCTTCATTAATAACTATATATACCTAAGTACAGTAAATGTGGACAATTCCACCAGAACTCCTGTTGGGCCCTTTGGCTGATATTGCCTGTTTTTACATTGGATGTACATTATGCACTATTAGCATTTGTAAAGGCTATCAGTTTTTTTTTTTTGTTTTTTTTTTTTTTTTTGTAAATATAATAAACATGTTATACTTACCTGCTCTGTACAATGGTATTGCCAGAACGACCTTGAAACTCATCTTCTGGGGTACCCCACCAGGGCTCTAAGCTTCTCTTCTCTGTCTATTACCATAGGAAGCTACTTCCTGTGATGACACACCCAGAAATATAAATTAAATAAACAATGCTGGAGGAATGGTCTAAAACAGGGATATTAAATTAAAATTCAAGGAGGTCTGGTCACTAAAATCTTCTTCTGGCCAAGGTCCGAATAGGGTGTCCTCATCAGTGTGCCCCCTTACATTCGGTGTCACCATCAGAGTGCAACTTTGCATCATGTATTCCCATCACATCAGGCGTGCCAATCAGAGTGCTCCTTTCAATCAGGTGTGCCCATCAGAGTGCCCCTTTACATCAGGTATCCCCATCACATTGCCACCTTACATCAGGTATTCCCCTCATAGTGCCCCCTTACACTCAAATACCCCTTTTCATCATATTCCCCAATCAGACTGCCCCTTTCCATCACATGTGCCAATCAGACTGCCCCTTTTCATCACAAGTGCCCATCAGAGTGCTCCTTTCCACAGTATGTGCCCATTTGTGCCCCCTTAACATAACACGTGCCCATCAGAGTGCCCCCTTAACAAAAAAAGATGCCCGTCAGATTGCCCCCTAACATAAAATTGGCCTGACAGAGTGCCCTTTAAACATAAAATGTGTCCACCAGAGTGCTCCTTAACATAAAATGTGCCCATCAGAGTGCTCCTTAACATAAAATGTGCCCATCAGAGTGCCCCTTAACATAAAATGTGCCCGTCAGAGTGCCCCTTAACATAAAATGTGCCCATCAGAGTGCCCCTTAACATAAAATGTGCCCGTCAGAGTGCCCCTTAACATAAAATGGGCCCGCCAGAGTGCCCTTTAACATAAAATGTGCCCGTCAGAGTGCCCCTTCACATAAAATGTGCCCGTCAGAGTGCCCCTTAACATAAAATGTGCCCATCAGAGTGCCCCTTAACATAAAATGTGCCCATCAGAGTGCTTCTTAACATAAAATGTGCCCATCAGAGTGCCCCTTAACATAAAATGTGCCCATCAGAGTGCTTCTTAACATAAAATGTGCCATCAGAGTGCCCCTTAACATAAAATGTGCCCATCAGAGTGCCCCTTAACATAAAATGTGCCCATCAGAGTGCTCCTTAACATAAAATGTGCCCATCAGAGTGCTCTTTAACATAAAATAAGGGGCATGCTGATGGGCACTTTTTATGTTAACCACTTGCTAACCGTGCTATAGCCAAATGATGGCTATAGTGCGGTTATCCAGTTCTGGGAGAGCATCCTCCCAGAACGCGCCCTCCCGTTCTCCCCCAGCGGTGCACACCCGGCGATCTCCTTGCCTTTTACCACGTGATCAGCTGTGTCCAATGACACAGCAAATCACGGAGTAAATACAGTTG